TACCGCAAGCCGGATGCCCGAAAGTGAGAAGGACGAGTTCTATCTGAGCCTTGACGATGCCATCAGATCGATTCCGGAAGGCGATTACCTCACCATAGCAGGTGATCTGAATGGTCACGTCGGCAGTGACAGAAGAGGCCTGGAAAGGGTGCACGGAGGTAGAGGGATAGGAGTGAGGAACGCCGAGGGAGAGAGGGTCCTGGACCTGGCTACAGCCCACGATCTGGCAATCTGCAGCACGTTCTTCGCGAAAAGGGAGACTCAGCAGTGGAGGGAGACAGACGGAAATCGACCATGTGCTGGTAAGAAGATCATCCCTCAAAACTGTGAAGGATATCAAGGTACTCCCTGGCGAAGAACTGGCTCCCAGCACAGGCCCCTCCTGGCAGACATAGCCATAGACCTCCCCAAGAAGACAAGGGTAAGAACCGAGAGGAGAATCCGGTGGTGGAAGTTGCACGAAGAGCGACCTCAAACGAAGGATAATGGAAGTTGGTCTCCCAGATCCTGAGGGACCAGTGCAGCTGAGATCATCCTACGATGCGCCAAGGAGGTACTGGGCGAGACGCGAGGTGGATTCAGAGGAGACAAGGCAGCGTGGTTCTGGAACGAGGAGGTCCAGCGAGTCGTGAAGCAGAAGAAGGAAGCATACAAGCGCTGGCAGAAGACCCGGAGCCCCGAGGACCTCGCTACCTACAAGAGTTGCAAGAGGCTCGCTAAGGCTGCCGTCGCCAAGGCGAAGAACACGGAGATGGACGCCTTGTACGAGAAGTTGGAAAGCAGAACGCAGAGAAGTTCGTCTTCAGACTGGCCAAAGCCCGGCATCGGGCTACTCAAGACATCAGGGTGGTGAAGAGCGTGAAGAGCAGCAACGGCGCCATCCTGAGGAAGCCAGCCGAAGTCCGGAGGAGGTGGGAAGAGTACTTCAGAGGTCTTCTGAACGAGGAGTTCCCCCACAAAACAACTCACGGGCAGAGGCCACAGCTGGTCCCATCGCACTCTGGACAGAGGATGAGGTTCGGTGTGCACTTGGGAAGATGAAGGTTGGAAAGGCAGTTGGTCCGGATGGAGTGGGTGCGGGACTTTTGGCTCGTCCGGGCTGGCACGCGACAGATTGTGCGGCGGCGCGGCGGCACGCGCGACAATCCGGATGGGACAGGGCTTCGCGCGTTCTGCAATAGAATTCAACACGCGTGTGCAGACTGTTGATAAACTCCGCATGACTCTGCGAGTTGAAAAAACTTTTCGCGCGCGGAGATTTCTATGCGGCAGTGTCGGTGAGGAGATTTCAGCACAAAATCAGAGAAACCTCCATAAAGGTCACTAGTATCACCTAAAGCAAATAAGAAACACTAAATTTAGGACTTTTTACTGAAATGTAGTTATTTGGTTCCAGCTATATGCTGCTAATCGCGACACTCATGCCCTTAGAGAAACATTCAAAACAGGGCCGATGGCAGAACACACTAGGACTGAGCCCAGGAGAGTGGAGAAACGCCAGGGAGACACAAACCTTCTCAACTCACATTCTCCTCCAAATCTTCGACTACTTGAGGCTAAATGTGAAGCACAGTTGGCTCTTTCACATAAATGTCTTAATTCTCTTTCTCCCGACGACATGAGCGCCCTGTCCTTCTCATCTTTTCCAACTGAAGCTTCCTTACCACTATTGCTATCCCCAAATCTCCACGCGTTGGAAAGCAATTCAGATTACATAACCTTTCGGATTTCATCCGCGATCCGCACACGCTTCGTCGTGTTAAAGGCAAAGTTCGGGCTCAGACCCACCTAAGAAGCCCTTACCATGGCTAGAAGTGCTGGGCACCCAAGTGCAAAGTTAGCGCCACCTTTCTACATCGAAACCTCACAGGACCCTAGGCGCCATGAACTTCTAACAGACTCCACCAAACATAACATGGTCCGCCCACCGATCGATATCTTGTCTGCGTCGCTGCGTTGATCTGCTATGCTCTCTCTTCTCGGACTTCTCTACCACTCTCCGCGCTCACATTATCTCTCATCTCCCTGCCTGTCTTTTGAACTTCTCCACAGCATGAGCAAAATGCTCGTATTTCCTGTGTATTTCAGGATTTTCTTTCCTTTTTTCTCCACTGGCGGTCCACCTCCCATCCCTACTTTCACATTTGAGTGGAATCAACCCATCAATGTAATCCTGATTCTTGCCTTTAAATTCCACTGCAGAGCTCGCGAAGACTTGCCTCGTCCGGATCGCCGCGCAGCCCGCCGCGCAATTCGCCGCGTGCCAGCCCGGACGAGCCAAAAGTCCGTCGCCCGGGTGGAGTCCATAGAGGCTTGGAAGGCGCTTAGAGCACGGGATGAGGTGGCTCACCCGCTTCCTGAACACGGTAACTGCGAAGGAAGGATGCCGGATGCCTGGAGAACAAGTACTATCGTCCCCATCTTCAAGCAGAAGGGCGCGATGGACTGCTCCAACTACCGCGGGATCAAGTTGACTGCGCATACCATGAAGTTGTACGAGCGCTGGTCGACTCGAAGCTGCGGGAGCTGGTCCCGATCTCCCAGGAACAGTTCGGGTTCATGCCCGAAAGGTCTACAACGGATGCCATCTTCATCGCAGGCAAGTGATGGAGAAGTATCGAGAAAAGCGCCGACCCTGCTACCTAGCCTTCCTCGACCGGCTACCGCGAGCGGTACTATGGAGAGCGCTCAGGGAACGGAATGTGCCAGAACACCTGATCTCTCTGGTGAAGGACATGTACGATGGGGCTAAGGCAGCTATACGCACCCCACACGGCCTAACGAAGGAGGTGGACATCACGGTTGGGGTGCACCAAGGGTCAGCTCTGAGCCCGTTCCTCTTCCTCCTGACACTAGATGTCCTGGTGAAGGGGCTCATGGAAGGACCACTGAAGACCATCCTCTACGCTGACGACATCGCCTTGATAGCGGATAGAATAGAATTCAATTCAGAGTGCAAAATGGCAGAAACTCCTGCAGAACGGCGGTCCGTCTGAATGTCAAGAACGACCCCAAGTTCCCCTGAGCGCGTGAGGAGGGTACAGAATCGATCGTTATGGAGAGAGCACTTCGAAAGAGTGGAGGACTTCCGCTACCTTGGGAGCGATCTGGCAGCCGACGGTAGTGTGGATCAGGCGGTGAAGGCTCGGGTCAACGCTGCATGGATGAAATGGAGGGAGTCCACTGGAATCCTCTGCGATCGAAGGTGCTCCAGAGCGCTCAAAGGGAAAGGTGTACCGGACAGTGTGTAAGGCCTGCGATGCTCTACGGCAGCGAGTGCTGGGCCCTTGAACAAGAATCAGGCAATGCAGCCTTCATTCTCGGGTCGAAATAGGTATGCTGATCAGTTGGTCGCCTGTCGGCTGGACTGCTGGGCAAGTTAGAAACTAGTAGTAAACGGCGATAATCTTCTTTGCTACTCTCACACTATTAAATTCCGTTACGTAGTTTATTTACCCGCAGACCTCTATCATTTCATTCCCAGAGTGGACATGGCGAGGGGTGGGAATGTGTCATAATCAATTCTGTTTCACTTATTCCGTACCATAAGAATCGCTAACAATAAGCCGATTTGCTTGTTGACGTTAACAAATGGCTAAAAAAGTGCACTTCGAGCTATCTATTGCTATCTCACATCGCGACCGCGGCCGGTTTTCGCAATCAGCAGAAGCAGTCAGAGATCTATCAAATAAAATTAGGAATGAGAATTCCGTGCCCAAAGTCTGCCAGATAGATGAGGTTAAAGATTCTTTCAGAGAACTTTCCACGCGCAAGCCATCCAATACCATTGTACAATAAAAATCTTGTCAGCCACCGTGGCTGCCATGCACCGGTGGGTAAAAGAATCTTCCGCGGAAAAAGCTCCGCCTCCATTACAACAGAAAAACGATACCCCTTAGGCCCCTAGCCTCATGAGCAGCAAAAAGAACGGAACATAAGCGTTAGTTTCGATAATACTAATCCTACACACAAGACAAAATGATCACTCTTTCCGTGGAAGATTCCTTTGAAGTATCGTCTTCTGTGGTAATGAGGGCGGAGCTTTTTCGTGGAGGATTCCTTTAATGAATCATGGGGTGTATCCCAAAAGGAACTGCATCCTTGTTTGCCAATTCCAATATTTTTTAATAAATCGAAATTGTAAGAGCTAAATTCTTTCTCTTTACTCTCCTCAGAAAGTGGAAGGAACTTTGTGGAAACTGTTGGAATGTTCATCACTTCTAAATTGTCGTTCTAGTGCGCTGTTGAGGAAATAAATTGAGAGAGCGGTAAAACTCTCGTTTTGTGAAGTGCCGATCTGCCTTGTCGTCTTTTTACACATAAAATATTTATAGAAACGGCATAAATGTGTTACATGCAGAGAAATGACAACAAAGATTACGACAAAGATTCATAAGCATTACATATAGGAGAGAAAAGGAATGTGACTTCTAAGCGAAGTGGTCGATGGCGCTCACGTGCGGTTTCCGATGACGATGGCCAGCAGGGCGTCACGGTACTGCCCGGAGGTATCGCCCTGAATTGTCTTCAGTTGAAAGTGGTGGCGCCGTATAAAAGGGAGAAATTTGGATGGACTCCAAACACAGCTCTCTACCAAACCTCTTCGCCGTTATTGAGCAGCGGACGTAGAAAATATATTCAAGCAGAAAACTCTAATCCTGCACCATACACTTTGCTTGGCATGCCACTGTAGATTTAAAGACTAATTTTGTCCCATCTAACAACCTAAGCAACACCGGGGTAAGGAACGCCTTTACGCAGTTCCGTTTATCAAATAGAGCCTAAGTCGTAATACAGAGCTCGTCTTCTTCAGGGATAGTCAGTTGGTACCGAAGTAGGTGACTCAAACATCGACCAATATCCGAGGAACCCTATACCCCCTCGACAGTAACCAGTATATTCCCAATTTTGAACTGAAACCAAGAGCGTAGCGCATCCTAGTGCAACATAACCCTGATCATTTCTTCGAGCGATTTGTTGTAAAGGGCGAGGAACTCCTCCTTGATCAGTTGCAGATCGACTTCCGAGCGAGTGACGAGCACGCGGATCAGGTCGTTGTCACGAGTTCCGAGGCCCTTCAAAAATTTTGGCAAAAATTTCGTGAATCCAGGGCACTTATGAAACAAAGGGAACACGGTCTTACCTTCATCGAGTTGTACAACTGGGTAGCGAAGAACTTCTGCTTGTCAGAGGCTGCTCGCACAATGGTCAGGTAACTCTTCTGAAGGTCACCGCT